TATGCGCTGATGTGCTTGGGTTGGTCAAAATCACCATTGGAAAACCTCCAGTGACTCCATGCTGCACTCTCCTCGAAGGCCTTGCTGATCTTGAAGCTGCAGTTTGCCTTTGCACTGCTCTTAAAGCCAATATTCTCGGCAACAACCTTAACATACCCATTTCACTAAGCCTCCTTCTCAATGTCTGCTCCAAGGAAGTCCCATCTGATTTCCAATGTGCCTAAGCATATATATACACACACATATATATATGCATATTGTGTTTAGTTACTTACTTTCTCTCAGTTTCACTTCCAGTGTTCTGTGTCACTCTTGTCAATTATACCTCCCGCTTGTTTGTTTCTTGGGGCTGATTATATTTTATTCGTCATGAATAACTCTACTTTGTAATGTTTACCGTTGTATTCCGCAAAATGAAATTATGTAATTTGCTTACTTTCTGATTCTTGTTAATTCATTATCATCAGCTTTCTTTTAATCTTTAAAGCTTTTTTATCCAACAACGAAGAATATTTTCTAAACCTAAATGACTAAATCAATTTTCCTCAGTAGCTGGAACTGAATCTAACACAAATACTTAACTATTCATAATAGAAAGAGCATAGCAGAACTCAGTACCGAAGGCTCTTTAATTAGCTTTATTTTTAATTTGGGGAAAAAGAAATTGTTCGATAGTGCAGTGCATGTCCAGAACACGTGGGTATATACTGGTCCAGACTGAGAGAGAACCTCTCTGTACGTAGCTTAATTGTGTGACTACTTAACACTGATTAAATACAGCATTAAAAAATAAAAGAACAAGACCATATGTATATGCATATATATATATATATATGCGTGTGTGTGTGTGTGTGCGCGCGCGCGCGCGTGTATATGTGTATGTATCCTCGGACCATCACACGTGACATTAATTAGCAATGCGGAGTAGAATACATGTTAAATTAAATACCAGATGCTACTCCATTTTAATCCATTTGACAGGACGTTTTTTAAAGCCCTAAGCAACAAATTGTGATTTTGTTGTACGATTGATTTCGTTAGAAAAAATTGTACTGTAATTAAATGATATATAAATATTAATTATAATGTTATATAAATAATTTTTAAATAAATATATATAATAGTATATAAATAATGTTATATAATTTGATTCAAATTCATAATTTTTTTTAGAGTAAGAGAATTGTTAATTATTAAATTAAGCAATCTTTGATTAATTGTTATATATATATATATATGTATTTAATTTATAAAAAATACGTATTTATTTTATAAAAAAATAAAAATGAAAAATTGGTGGTGATTTAGTGAATTCAAGTCTTGTCATGGCAATTTAATGTAACACAACAAAAAGGTATCTTGAATTTGTGGTGTGCCTTCTTGTGGGAAATATATGCTGTATGATCATTAATACTTCAGAAAATATTTGTGGGGTATAGATATATATGAATCTCTTTGGTATGCTATATTCCATAATGTGGTTCATATATGGTTTTCATTTAGTTGGCAGATATATATATATATATATAGAAAGGTGACGACGAGAATAATCTACGTACATATATGTTCATGAATTGCAGCCACGGAAATCATGTATCCACCCCAGAATTAAAGAAAAAAACAGTGAAAAAATTTGTGAAACACTCGGAATTAGTTTTAAATTTATTACAACTATAGATTATTTTGAAATTCATTTTTGAGATGGACCCGTGACACTTAAGAAATATATGTCAAAAAATTTATCAAATTTTGATAAAATTTATAAAATAAATTTGTGAATATATATTGACAATGGTCAAAATTATTAATCTCTAAAGTTCACAATTGATTCACTTTATATATATATATATATATATATACATATATATATATATATTTCAATAAGCTCAATTATTTGTATAACAGTCCGAACCCCAATATCAGTGGGTACGGACGTTAGCACAATATTTTTAACTAATGTAATAAAAAAATATTAAATATACAGTAGAACTACAATTTAATACACATCCATTCTGATAAGATAATTATTTTTTTTCTAATTCTTATATATAAAATATGTTTGTTTAAATGGGTGTATATTAAAATATAGTTCCGTTGCATATTTAATATTTATTTGGTTCACTAATTATAAATATTGTACTAACATCTGTACCCACCGACATTGGTGTTCAAACTGTTACAAATAGTATTAGACCACACGTTCTTCGGAACTAACCCTCGTAACATGAGACATAAGAATTTTAGCAGGTCTAGTATCAACAGAACTTAGGAAAATATTTAATAATTTCGCTACATATTTAATATTTATTTGTTCTACTAGTTATAAATATTATGCTAACGTCTGTACTCACCGACATTGGGGTTCGATCTGTTACAAGTGTATCAGAGCACACGTTTCTCGAAACCAGCCCTTGTGACATGAGATGTAAGAACTTTAGGAGGTCTAGGATCAATAGAACTTAGGATAATAACCCTTAAGTGATGTTTTTTACCTTTTCTAAAACATTTTTTAACATAAAAAATAGGAGAATAGTATTCCATAAACCTAACGATATGAATCACATAGGTTACTTTCTGAAAAACTGAGGACTCTACAAATAAGGGGTTCACCATGAAGTTAATGGACGACGATACATAACCAACCACCATCGTCCAACTTCACATGGGTTATGAAAAATCATTAGAGCCTTAACCTGTAACATCCAAACCCTAAGTTAAATAAAAGAATATGTAAATAAATAAATAAATTTAGAATTAGGATTTAAATAAAAGAACTTTTGAAATTTTTGTGATTTTATTTAATTTCAAGGACCTGAATGAAAACAAGAAAAAAGGAGGGTAAAAGTATGAATAAATACAACAGGAAGGGGGGGAAAAGAAATTAAGGAACAGACGGTCTTTATCCAACCGTCTGTGAAGATCAAACAGCTAAGATTTTATGAAAGATGAACAGCCCAGATCGAGTATGTGAGATCCAACGGCTGGGGAGAATGGGTATAAAAAGAAAAAATTTAGAATTTTTCTTCATTTAGGAGAGAAGTCAATCGAGTGAGAGAGAAAAGAGAAGATCTATCGAGCGAGGAAACCAAGAGGAAGAGAGAAAGAGAGGAAAGGAAGAGGGAGGCTAGAGAAGAGGAAATGAGAGGAAGAGAAGAGTAGTTGAGCAGAAGAGTAAAGGGGTAGTCGAGAACGGCCACCACAAAGGAAAGAAAGAAGAAAAAAAATGGCAGATGCGAGAGAGTGGTGAAGCCGAAGCTGAAAGGAAGAAGAAAGAATAGGAATCGGGCCGACACGCCG